AAAAATCATGAAACATTTGAACCTTCTGTGTCGGCTGTACTGCAAGAAATGTTTGTCTATCTTAAACCTCTAGAAACTATCAACATTTTTGCTTACGATGACATAACACCACTGGTAGAAGTTATTACTCGTTCTTTGGAATACATTACCACATTCCCTGGTGATCTGATAATGGGTCTTAGAATACTACGTCATTTGGCTATAGGACCAACTACCAAAATCTACAAATCAGCCGATACAGAAGAACTGAAACATCGTTATGTGGCCTTGCAATTCTATGCTGCCGATGGCATGCAAACTTTAGTACATATATTAGAAAAACTGTGTGCTTATTTCGAACAACCTGGACTACATACTCCAGCTTTAATGACCCTACAGGGTGTCCACTGCTGTCAAATAATTTTACCCACTTTACAAGTTATGCGTGAAATGCTTTCATTTGCTATACAATGTAGAGATGTAGAATTTAAAGATTTGACTGCCATTGATCATTTAATGCGCACCTACTATTTGATGCATTTCTTCCCGGCCACTAGTCCAGCGGCTGCTGAAGTGGCAAAGGCTAAATATGAAATTATACAAACCTTGCTAGCTTATACACAGCCCAATGAACAGGATGAGGAATTGTTGCACAAATCGCTGTGGACTCAGATGATAAGAGAAATATTGAAAAATATTGATGGTCCTTCAACGTTTATACCAGGTAAGTGTGGGGAATTTTGTATAAATATTCTAGACTTCAGTCTATAGTCTTGACTATAGAACAGAGCAGTTTTGACTATAGGTCAGTCTACAGTTTTGATTATAGCTCAATCTATAATCTTGATTATAGATCAGTCCATAGTCTTTGCAATCTATATGTCTATAATTTTGACTATACATAGATCCGTCAATCAGTCTATATCAGTCTAGAGTCTTTGCTATATATCAGTCTATAGTTTTGACTATACATAGATCAGTCAATGGTCTTGAACTAGATCTGAACTAGAACTGAACTAGAACTAGAACTGAACTAGAACTGAACTAGAACTGAACTAGAACTGAACTAGAACTGAACTAGAACTGAACTAGAACTGAAGTAACTGAACTAGAACTGAACTAGACTACCTGAACTAGAACTGAACTAGAACTGAACTAGAACCTGAACCAGAACTGAACTAGAACTGAACTAGACTGAACTAGAACTGAACTAGAACCTGAACTAAAATGACTAGAACTGAACTAGAACTGAACTAGAACTGAACTAGAACTGAACTAGAACTGAACTAGAACTGAATAGAACTGAACTAGAAATGAACTAGACGAGCTAGAACTGAAACTAGAACTGAACTAGAACGAAACTAAACTAACTAGAACATAACTAGAACTGAACTAGAACTGAACTAAACTGAACTAAACTACTAGAACTGAACTAGAACTGAACTAGAACTAAAACTAAACTGAACTAGAACTGAAATAAACGAACTAGACTGAACTAGAACTGAACTAGAACTGAACTAGAATCTGTCCTAGAACTGAACTAGAACTGAACTAAACTGACTAAAATGAACTATAATGAACAAACTGAACTAGAACTGAACTAGAACTGAACTAGAACTGAACTAGAAAACTGAAACTAGACTGAACAAACTGGAACTAAGGAACTGAACTAGAACTGAACTAGAACTGAAACTAGAACTGAACTAGAACTGAACTAGAACTGAACTAGAACTGAACTAGAACTGAACGAGATCTGAACTAGAACTGAATAAAGAACTAAGAACTAGAACTGAACTAGACTGAAACTAGAAACTGACTAGAACTGAACTTAGAACTGAACTAGAAATGAAACTAGAACTGAACTAGAACGAACTAGAACTGGAAACTAGAACTGAAAAACTTAGAAAACTGAACTAGAAATGAACTAGAACTGAACAGGAATGAACTAGAACTGACCTAGGGAACATGAACTGAGAACTGAAACATAGAACTGAACTAGAACTGAACTAGAACGAACAGAAACGGAAACAGAACTGAACTAGAACTGAACTAGAACTGAACTAAGAATTGAACTAGAACTGAATAGACACTGAACTAGAACTGAAACTAGAACTGAACTAGAAACTGAAAAACTAGAAAATGAACTAGACTGAACTAGACTGAAACTAGACCTGAACTAGAAACTGAACAGAATGAACTAGAACTGAAACTGAACTGAACAGACTGAACACTAGAACTGACACTATAACTGACTAGAATTAACTCGAACTGAACAGAACTGAACTAGAACTGAATAGACTTGAACTAGAACTGACTTGATCTGTACTAGACTGGAACTAGAACTGAACTAGAACTGAACTAGAACTGAACTAGAACTGAACTAGAACTGAACTAGAACTGAACTAGAACTGAACTAGAACTGAACTAGAACTGAACTAGAACTGAACTAGAACTGAACTAGAACTGAACTAGAACTGAACTAGAACTGAACTAGAACTGAACTAGAACTGAACTAGAACTGAACTAGAACTGAAACTAAAACTGAACTAGAACTGAACTAGAACTGAACTAGAACTGAACTAGAACTGAACTAGAACTGAACTAGAACTGAACTAGAACTGAACTAGAACTGAACTAGAACTGAACTTGAACTAGAAACTGAACTAGAACTGAACTAGAACTGAACTAGAACTGAAACTAGAACTGAACTAAAACTGAACTAGAACTGAACTAGAATTAACTAGGACTGAACTAGAACTAAATTGGAATTAAATTATAGATCAGTCTATAGTCCTGACTACAGATCAATCTATAGTCCTGACTAGATCAGTCTAAAGTCTCGACTATAAAAACAGTATTTTTTTTTTAATATAAATTTCTTTTTTTTACAGGTCTTCTAGTCTTGGCTGAACTTTTACCACTTCCCCTACCTCTACCTCTCCCCCTCATGAATCCCTCCAGCAGTGCAGAATCATTGAAATCCCAAGCTCAACACTTAATAAGAGAACGTAAAATCTGGTCGGCTCATCTACATCCACAGGGTGCGCAAATTGCACGTCTCATTGAAGCCATGGCTCCCTCATCATTTCCCCAATTAAGTGATTTGTTAACTCGGGTCTGTTTACAACTGGCAGATTTGGCTCCCAATATGACCCTACTCATATCAAAAACTTTAAGTGATTTATTAACTAATGAATGGTCTTCAGCGGGACAACAGCCTACAGCACATTTAGCTCGTTTATTGCAATTTTTTGCTCGTCTCAATTCGTATCCTTCTCTAAAGATATCAACGCTCTCCATATTATCGGGGAAATTATGGGATTTTCTTAGTGGTTTGTTGACCACAAAAACCACCACCGAAGTAGGCATAAAGTGTCAGATATCAGTACATCGTCTGTTAGAAAGTTTCTTGGATTCGGAAATTTCTTTTCTAGCTTCCTCGCAAGCAAGTGCTGGTAATAACAACAATAATCCTTTGCTAAACTTGGCCACTGCCCTGCCCAATAAGGAACTGATACCCAAAATTGTGGAGGCTATTTTCAGCAATCTTATAGAGGTAGAAGTTACTTCGGAGGTATCGGCTATGGGGGTTAGAAATTTGGTTATATTAACCGAACATGAGTAAGTTTTAATTTATACAGTTTTATGGGAAATGAACTTTATTAAAAAATTTACTTCTTACAGCATTACTTTCTACCATTTGTCACTGGTATTGAAACAAAAATCCGCAGAATTCCAAACATGGATGACAAAAATCACCAATCTTAATGAGGCTGGTCCCTATAATTCCAATATTGAGTCTTTGGTTTTATTATTACGTTCTCTCACACAAATAGAAGATTTAACGCCTCAGTATAGCTGTTTACCAGCGAGAACATTGAAACTTTCCGCTGTGGAATTGGCACAAATAATTGGTTTCAAAACGGAGGAGCCAAAATCTAATATAATCGAAGCGATTTCTTTAATATTAGAACGTAATAAGGAAGATATTAATGATACTTTATTAACCGATATACAACAATTAAAGGACTTAATGGTTAATGTAAATAGCGGTTCTAATACAGAGGAAGAGGTTGTGGTGACGGAGCCACATTTACCGCAAACTGAAAGTATTGTAACACAATACGATGCTCGACCCATATTCACTACATATGATCCACAAACCGATGATGGACAAATGGTGGCTCAACACTGGTTGAATACTTTAAATATTGAGGCACTTACCACCGAAGATATTGAATCGCAATACGAAAGAGTTTCCTGTGATTTGACTGAATTGGCCCAGACCTGTTTGACGCCCGAGTGTAATCTGTCCTCAGACTGTAAAAGAGTTTTGCACTTGTCCGCCTCACCACAATCCAATCGTGAACGTACACCTACTGCCCCCTGTTTCCGCACTAGACGTGTTGAAGTGGAACCTTCAACTGGTAGACCTGAGAAGAAAATCTATATTACTTCTATGAGAGGTAGAGGTTTTCCACGACCTCCTCCCTCTAGAGGAGATCTCTTCCGTTCTCGTCCACCCAATACCTCTAGACCGCCTTCGCTTCATGTCGATGACTTTTTGGCCTTGGAGACTTGTGGTGCTCAACCAACGGGACCCACAGGTTACAATAAAATACCACCTTTAATGCGAGGCTCTCGTGTTGGTCGCAATCGTGGCTCACGCATTTCTGCTGTGGCCGCCTATCGTAAAACAAAAATATTACGCACAAATTCACCTTCCACCTGGAATGAGGGTGGTTCACCGCACTATCGCTCTAATCCAGATTCACACTTTTCTGGTGGACCCGGTGATGGTCCTCACTATTCAACTAATCATTTTACCGGACGTATACGTGGTCGTGGCATGCGTTCACGCCCCTATATGCGTTAGGATTCTATAAATTATAATTTAAGTCTTAAGAATTAAAATGGCCTCCTAATTTGTTTCGTCTATACTCTAAGCTGACCTTGATTAATTTCCTTTATTACATGTGTGTTTTTGTAAAATCTTTATAACAATAATAACAAAACTGAAATTAATATTTATAATATTTTATTTTAAAATTATCTTTGTACAATGTAGCGTTTTTTTTTTTCTTATCATTTAAAACGTGCATACGGTGCATTATATTTGTATGTCTGAAAGTGTGTGTATGCCGGCGTTTTCATTTCAAAATTTCCTCATTGCATTTTTAATTTATTTATTTGTATGTACTTTTTTATTTACTTTTTTTTATTCAGTTATTATTGTATGCAATCTAACATCGTGAGTATCTAAGGGTAAACTTTCTTCATCAACAATCTGTTCACGAAATGCTAAAGCCATCAAAGTGGTTTTCTTATTTGGATAAGTGGTCTGATGTCGTTTCAAATATTTATCATAATAACCCATACCATGACCCATGCGACCACCGCTTAAGGTAAATGCAACACCGGGTATTAAGAATAAATCAATTCCATGTCCTATAAGATGAAATAGCGGGAAATAAAAAAGAAAAGTAAGTAGTTTTTATATGAGTTCCATATGTATTTTTATAAAGATTACATTATTGATCAATTAGTAATAGAAAGATCTATAGACTGACTTGTAGTCAGATCTTAAGACTGATCTATAGTCACGTCTATAGACTGATCTATAGTCACGTCTATAGACTGATCTATAGTCAATAATAAATACTAATCTGTAGTCAAGACTATATACTGATCTATAGCCAATACTATAGACTAATCTATAGTGAAGACTAAGGACTGACCTATAGTCGAGACTATAGACTGATCTATAGTCGAGACTATAGACTGATCTATAGTCGAGACTTTAGACTGATCTATAATCAAGACTATAACCTGATCTATAGTCAAGACTTTAGACTGATCTATAGTCAAGACTATAGACCGATCTATTCAAGACGGATCTATAGTCAAGACTATAGACTAATCTTTAGTCAAGACTATAGACTGGTCTATAATCAAGACTATAGACTGATCTATAGACAAGACTATAGACTGATCTATAGTCTTGACTATAGTCTTGACTATAGGCTGATCTATAGTCTTGACTATAGACTGATCTATAGTCAGGACTATAGACTGATCTATAGTCAGGACTATATACTGATCTACAGTCAGGACTATAGACTGATCTACAGTCAGGACTATAGACTGATCTACAG